ACGAAGGAAATACAGAGAATAAAAGAAATGGAACATAGAAAGAGAAGAAAATTGTTATGAACTAGAACCTATGAAGAAGGTAGATAAGTGAAAACTAAAATTAATAAAATAAAATAAAGATATCAAAGCCGATGGAATTTGTATCCGATGGTACTTAAATATTCATTAATAGCTTGTGCATACTATATTGGTTTACCCGTTTCTACACGAAAGTAATATTTTGAAGAACTTTCTCTGCTAGTTGATGAAAGGAGCGTAGCGAAATTTGCGTGTCAGACGGAAGAGCGGGCCTGATGGGCCCAAGGTCCTCGCCACGTATATCAATAAGGCAAATTCAATTTCAAATTCAATTTCAATTTTCAATTCACTCGCAATACTACGAGCAAGGCTTCCTCGCCCTGGTTTCTCACAGCAGGGTCGGTTCCTCCGCGGCCTCCAGCCCTCGCCTTCCCTTTTCAATGCGACCGCCCTTTCCGCCCGCCCTTGGCGCAGCAGGTGGCCGGATGCTGCCTTTCTCTTCGGCTGCCGGCGTCGAAGCATGCCTACTGAGCGTGCCGTCTTTGTTAAACCAGAAGTCAAGGGCGGGTTACCTCCTGCGCAAAAACAAGCCGTCTTGTCAGCGGAGCCTCCCTCGCTCGGTCGTAATTCCTGTCGCTTTGATGGTTTACGTTAGCTCATGTCCTCTCGCCTCCGGAGAACGAGGGACTAGTATTATATACCGCAGGTTCTTCAATACAAACTACTTCTTTATTATCTCTGGCGAGCAAGGGGATTCCGGTTTCGAAGGCATGACTTCAATCGGGTGGAGGCAGGATTTTCTGGGCTTCCTAGTCAAGCCACTGCTCTGGCGCGGGAAATTCGGCTATGAATGTTGAAATTTTTGTTAACTGCCATATTAATCAAAAAGTAGATATTAACAAAATTAGTGATCAGAATATTTAAACATTATAATAAATAATTTTTTTAAAATAAAAAAATAGAACATTAAACTGGCTCCACGCAAGCAAAAACAAAATTAGTTATTTTTTGACTAGAATAAACAGAATTCTTTTTTCGGGGTATCACGTTCCTCCTCCGTGAACGATGGGACCTATAACCACTTCCATGGTCCATCCCATTGATTTAAAAAGTCACGGCGACAATATGGAGAAGCCGGAAATCTGTGACAAGCTGCGATTCTCGAGGTACTAAATGTAATTAAGCGTGGGGGGAGAATGGAGTACTAAATAAATTGTACAATTTTTGGCCTGAGATATAAGAAATTACGCTATAGAAAAATTTAACATGGGAGGAAGAGCGGCAAAATAAGTTGATATTTTTATTTATTAATTCGAGGCACTGAAAAGTTCACTCTGATGTTTACATAGAAAAGTTTATTGAACATACGGTACGAAGATACAGTAGCAGAAAGAATGACCTTTACCTTGTGAGAAACAATGAACCATTAGACTTACGAACAGAGTCAGATGAGATAACCCTCTACTTCGTATGCGTTTATAATGCTGAATCATTTAGAAACCCCTTTTCAGCGCGTAATTGATTCCATTGCCCGTCTTTTTGATTTCTCATCCTGAAAGAATAAATCCCAGGTTCCAATAAAGGAATAAAGAATGTCTTTCATTTAATGTAGCTGCTTTGTAGTAGAGGGCCGAATTCACGATGGAATTCGAGACTGGCGGAGAGAATACAAAGAAAACCGAGAGAAAGAATGGAACTTCTGCGCGCGTTTTGGAAAGGGAGATTCCGCTTCCCTGGGCCCTCGCCTGGAATCCTAAGAACCGCACAAAGAAGCGCACACCGCTTGGAAAAGGGCACGGAAGGGCGGGGGCCACGGTGTCGAAAGGCGATTGAAAGAGAAGCAGAAAATGGCCATGTTCAGATTGTTTTCAGCAAAATCGACGCCTGAACGAACAACTCTGGGAATGCCAAGAAACAGAAGTCCAGACGCGCAAACAATTATTTGATTTTTTTAAAAAAAAGGAATATCTTATTCATTCATGCGTAAATAAACTAGAAATCAACATAGTCAAGTTTAAAATTAGTAAGGCTGAAAGAAGAAAATGAAAAATAATCTCTAGAGAGAAGTTGAATTTACTTTGGAGACTTGAAGGTTTTTTTTTTGTTAGAGATAAACATTTTTCCAGTACTGGCAAGTGACAGTTAAATCAAAATAATAATAAAAATAATAAATAATATATAATAAATAATAAATAATATATAATAATAATAAATATATATAATAATAATAATAATATAATAAATAAATAAATATAATATATAATAAATATATAATTATAAAATAATAATATAATATATAATAAATAATATAATAATATAATAAATAATATAATAT